CTGGATTTAAAGGGGTCCCTAGGGTGGGGGGTGGGGGGGGCATGGAGGCGGCAGGGGCGATGGAGAGCTCTAGTGGCAAGCGTCACGCGCCACGCGCACGACCTTTACTCCGCAGTCTCCGACGTCGCGACGCGCGGCCCACTTCAAACGGATTATTAGGCGCCATTTACGATTTCACAACTCTCTCCATACTTCTCTTATTCGCTCCCTCCTGCTGTCCTTGTCAGAGTGCCTTGGAACGTTGGTCCCTGCCGATTGTCTTACGTAACTAGTGTTAACGCAAAATAAGTAAAAGTCTGTGAAATGGGTTAGTTGATACATGAGCCGCAATGATAATTCTCAATGTTATCGTGCAGTCTTTCTTGTTGTTTTTGGTTGTCAAATTATGATATCGCCTATTACGTCGTCTTGAAGCTTCCGGTGATGGTCACTTGACAAACACACTTAAGTTTCTCTTAATTTTATTTTTGACATGGAAAGTCTTCGTGCCTTTGATGGGGTGAAAGGAAAACGTAATGATGCAATATTAAATGCATATGGTGTTGCATAAGGATATTTTCTTTATGTTCTTTTTCTTACGAATGGACTTCCTTCATGCTATAAAATGTCATACGCATGGCAACTCTAAATGAAGTTGGTTTTCTAGATCGAAAATCCTGTATAACGGCTAATGAGAAGTACTTGAATCAAACGGATCACGTACAATGCAGCACAATTAAGTCCATACTCACGTACTGCGGTATAGCCTTCACAGTTCATTCTATTTTGATAAATAAAGTACTCTGGAGTGACTATTGAAGTGAATCGTGTACCATCATATTTCCTCAGAGAATAGTCAAAATTAAAACTATTGAGTTTTTATCCATGTTTTGAAATTAAGAGGAGCAATACAAGTGGATTTTGATCGTTTCTTTAATTGAAGGTCTCCAGAAAATTCTTTACAAGTTCTTTGAAACACCTTTAAGTACTCGAACACTTCATAATGTAAGGATTAGATAAATAAAACGATTATCATATTATGGTGGCTATTGTGAGGAAGATAGCGTATTTAACACTTTCAAAATATCATTCACTGACTCTAGCAATATATTGCGAGTAATACAAAAAAAATCCAAATCGAGTGGTCAAACATCTTCTGCCCTCCGGTGGGCAAACGTAGTTTCTCCACAATCTCGTCCGACGCCCGGTCCGTGAAACGGAGTTCGCAAGGGGGAGGGGTCACGTGACGTGTGTGTGTGCGCGCGCGCGCGCGCGTCAGCTGCTGTTGGTAAACAAGCGCCACGCGCCGAGCGGCGTGATGGCGGAAGCGAAGTGGCCGGCGCCGCCGCCGCCGCTCCGTCCACGCGCCGCCCGCCTGCCGCCACCCCACAGCCTTGCCCTTATTAGAAGTCGCTTTTGGGGCATCTGATACTACTTTACGTTGGGCAACTGATTCACTGCCTGTGATGCGCACTGCCTGCGGTGATTAGAAGTTGCTTCGTGACGAAAGTGTGCGGAAATTCAACTTCATGTTACAAAATTTGTTGTGTAGAATTCAATTTGTTATCTAGAATAGGAAATGGAGTTCAAATTACAGTGTCCGAAAGAGTGTAAGCGGTTTTATAAAAATCTTATCATTGTGTTCAGAAGAAAATATATATTATATTACATTATATGAGTGCTGTGTTTTATTGTTGTTATTATTGATATTGTCGTTAGAATTAGAATTGTTACCATTTGGTCGTAATGCGCAGTCCCTTAGCTTGTACGCTGATACTCCTCACGCTCCAGCTATCTCTTGTTTTTCGGATGTGTTCTGACAGAGTTTGGTTTCTGAGCATCGCGTCTTTTGAACCTTCGCGTTTTTCTTATAAATTCCATGGCCTTCTGATCTCCTAAAGAAATGGTCGGTAAACATCGCTGCGCTGATGGATAGCGCGTTGAGTTGTCATAGACATTAGTTTTCTGGTTTCACGATTCACATTGTTTCTTTTGTCGGCCAGTCTAATACAATGCAGAAGTGTATCTTATCACTGTAGAGTAGAATTTCCACCCTAAAGCTTGGTTCTGAGAAGCTTCCGAACACGTTTCTTGCATTCCGGCGAGGCAGAGATCTTAACTTGATGGCAGATATCCACTGCCTGCTGATGACCTACTAGGTTTTTGTAGGCCGCCTCCATGGACTCTTACATACGATTTACACTCTTCCCGGTGGCGAACGATTTCGGAAGGTTTAGCGAACGCGCGCATTTCCAAGACGTCTTTGTTGCATCAGCAGCCGTTTTGTTAACGCTCTCGTTCGTTAAACTTCCGAAATCGTTCGTCAAAACGAGAGGTGTGAGCAAAGTCTTATTGTAGATTTTATTGGAGTAAGATATTAGATGTGTTGATAAATTTCCTCGGCGGATTCCGCGAGTAGCACACTTATCTACGCCGAAGTCCATTGCGGTATCTTTACTAAACACTAGCAAGGGAGTGGAGCACGTTCAGTGAGGAACTACGTTCGTTTCTTCACTCTCTTCGCCTCTCATCATGAATGGACGTGGCTGGCAAGGACCTGTGCAAAGGAGCCAAGCGCCATAGGAAGGTTCTTCGGCGCAATATCCATGGCATCACAGAGCAAGTTATTCGTCGTTGGACTCGGCGTGGATGTGTGAAGCGTATCTACGTTCTAATATACCAAGAGACTAGCGGTGTGCTCAAGCTCTTCCTTGTGAACGTGGTCCGCGACGCTGTCACCTACACCGACACGCCAAGTGCAAGACTGTCACCGTCATGGACGTCGTCTCCGCCCAGGGACGTACTGTGTACGGTTTCGGCGGCTAAACTGTTTGAAGTCGCTCAAGAGAATATATTTCTTGTTGTTGCTGCCGGTAACACTTACTGTGTATGTAAGTGGCTCTAGCGTCGTATCAGACTCTTGTTCAACTTGAGGTTGTCCATGTCCTCTGCAGGACTAATGTAGGGTATCAATAATGTTACAAAGAGCAGCAAAGAAAGCGAATCTCCTTGTAATATCGTTCGGGCATATTTAAATACTTCTACATACAATTACATTCGACTTTCTTTAGGACTTTTATTAAATAAAAACGAAGAAAGTTTCTAAATTTCAACGGTAACAAAAAATTAATTATATCTCCCGAGTTTATTTTTCATAGTTACATCCTCTTTTGTAGTCGTTAAACGTGCCTTTTCATGTGAAGCTGCTTCCTCATGTTATTTTGCTCTGGTGTTTTTTAAGGATTATGAAAAATGCGACCATGTCGTAGTTCAGGCTGTAGAACAAGGTTGCTGGGTCGATCATAGATCATCGATGTTTGCGTCTTAGTGTTTACTACGGCGCACTACGCCCCAACTCCGCCGGAATTCAAACAAACATGGCAGAATGAATGGCTCTGTGGGATGAGAAAATGTTTCATTTCTTTTACTCTGTTCTTTACTGACCATTAAAGAAAGTATTAGAGTTATCCTTTGTGATAAATATAAGAAGGCAGATGATTTTTTCTTAAGATATCACTGCGTCTTTAATGCGAAAGACGTAACACTTTTAGAATATGTTGGTCAAAGTTATTTATAAAATTCTCTGGTGACCGCTATATCAAACGTAGATAACGAATATAAACATTTTGTTTTCTTAGCACTTTCATAATCCGTCTATCTCATTTGATATTATAATAAACGTTTGTAGACAGTTAACGGATTAAAATTATCTATTATTAGGTGGAAATAAAATGAATGTGTAAACCATTTTACAGAATAGAGGAACAATTTGAATAACATCAAAATTACTGAAAAGTATCGCTACCAGAGACCAAAGTAGACCGAGAGATGGTATATTTTACGCAATTCTTTTTTAATTATAAAACATTATTTTCTCAACGTACTATTTTGATATGTATCAAAATCAACTCAAGCTTGTAATTTTGCTTTACCTTGAGTATTCCAAGAAATTATTAAATGAGAAATTGAATGAAATGAGAACTACAATTTTATAATACGAAAGAGATCCTGGCCATACTAAGGACATGGAAATAAACATAGCAGCTACATAATTGACGTAATTGCGTGACGTAAATGCATTGTCAGAAGAAAGTGCTTGTGTTGAAACCTGACGATAACAACGGCGCGGATGACGTGATATTGATGTAATATATTTTTATTATTAGCTTTATCATCATATCTATCTTTGTGGTCCAATTGTCTTTTAAAAAATTGATTTCTTAATGGGTATGATTTGGATTAAAATGATGTTGGAGGTTAACGATCAAAACCTTTTTTCCACTACCAACTTTCCTGGCTCTAGATAATTCATCCGTATGATATCCCAACGCAATAGATATTGAATTCGGTGAAAGAGAGAGTGTGGAGACTGTTCCAATTTTTTCAAAACAAATGAAGGACAAATTAACTCGCAAAAGAGCACAACTTCTTCTTAAATAGTTTGTTTGAAGGCCACAATTTATTTTGCTACAATCAGGACTTATTTATTCTAAATAAATTACTAAACCTGAAAAAAGTATAAATTTATTAAAATGTAACATGTCTGCTGAGCAGTTGAAAATGCGCGCCGTCAAAGAGAATACTATGGTTATTTGTCGAAAATGATGGCAGACCAATCCCGCGAGTGACATTTGGGGCGCAGATGCAATTTCTTGGAAGTGTCGCCCTCTCAAGGCCGCCGCCAGCGATCGCCGGCCGCGTGGAGCGGTGCCGCGCGGGTTTCGCGCGCGGGCCAATGAGCGACTGAGCGCGCGGCTAGGGCGTGCCGGGGCTCGGGTGGGGTTGGAGTGGGGAGGGGCGGGGCGTGGGGCGCGGGGCGAACCGCGCGCTGAACGCAACCCGGGCGCGCGGCGCGCTATGAAACTGGGCGCGAGCGGCGCGAGCGAGCACTTGTCGTCCGCGCGGCGTGGCACCTCTTCGCTCCTCTCCTCCTCCTCTTCTTCTCTTGCTCCGCTTCAGAGGCCTGCAGAGCTGCGCGCCGCGACTGGTCCGCCGCCCGTTCTGCCGCGGTGTCTGCGCTGGAGCCCCCGCTGCGGGTTCGCGTCGCCTCCGTCAGCCGTCGTGTCGGTGCCGCGCCCGCGCCCGCGCCGGCGTCCGCGGTCGTCGTGGTGGCTCGGTGCGCGCCGTAGCCGCGAGGGGCACCATGCGGTGTGGGTCGAGCGACGGCGGCGTCGCGGGCGCCTGCTCCGTGTTGGCCGCGTCGGCGCTGCTCGTGCCGCGATGCTGCTAGCGCTAGCCGTGCTGGCGCGGGCGGCGTCGCTGGCCGGTCGTGGGACCGCCACGGAGATTTTGTTCCCCCGTGCGGCGGACGCAGGGGTGAGCGCAGCACTGCCATCGGCCCCCGGCGGGCGGCGCGGGTTGAGGTCTCCGACATTGAGGACTGCGCCCCGCCGCCGCCCCGCGCGCTGACCATGTTGCAATGCTCTGTGAAAATACTTCTATAAACGAATAGCAAACTTCGGTACTGAAAAGGGAAAATAATTTCCTGCAAGTAGTATCTCTCTGATAGTGACCCTCAGTGTCCTTTTATCGAAGTTCGGCTTGGTTCGCTCGTTGCATGATCTGTGAAAGTTCTTATATATGCGAATCGCAAACATCTGTACTAAAGAGGGAACATAATTTCGTGCTAACTGCACCGTGGGTAGTGATAATCCGACCCATTCGTTGGATTTGTGAAAACTTGTTTTAAAACTTACTCTGTCAATTTATTTACTTTAGTGCTTTTTATTTTGTTTAGTGCTCAGCTCTAACAGAGGGGAACAGTTACTCTTTACAAGATATAGTTTCTATTCTGTAAAACAGTTTACCAGAAAATACAATGAAATTCTAATTTCTTTGACGGTTGTGCAGTTCTATATACATGTGAAATATGACAATACCTGTCACATTTTAATATCGAGTTATCGTTTTTTACTATTGTTAACTAAATATCATGCTGCAAAAGCTATTTAACAGCTCGTATCTTTTCATATTAAAAATTATAATACGGAATACTCCGCTCACGTACACTCTCTGGCGTCACAACTCTAATTAGAATAGGTTTTCCCCCTGTTTGAAGCATTCAGTAGATTTTCAAATATATACTTCCAAAGAATATTTCTCTAACCTATGGTTTATGTCCGAAGTCGACGAAAGTAGTTCTTTCTGCGTTTGTTTTATTGGCGAAGCTTTTAATCGATTAAGCTTGTCATTGCATAAACTAGCTTCGTTATGTTTAGTCGTAATTCGTTCTCCTTGAACATTTCTAAGTAACCAACCTGCTCTTGCTTCGATCAAAAAGAAATATTTTGACAGGGGAGCATTGTATTCTATGAGCTGGTTCTGGGCATATCAGCATTCTTCTCGAAACACAGAGATTTTATAATTTATTTGTGAAGTTAATTATTTCATTGAAGTTAAGATTTTTTTTAAAAAGTAAATTTGCAATAAATCACAGTGTTGATTAACATTGTTACGCATTGAAACGGAGTAAAACTACCTAACGTACCAAACTTTAAGCTTGTGTGAAAGGGAAATATTACGTCAATTAAGGTTTCTGAGGGCAGGGCAGAAGTGATATGAAATAATTAATTTTCGCCCAGTCAGTGGTGCACCCAAAAGGGTCACATCCATAGGGAATTCAGATTTTCGAAAAATATTTTTCAAGAACTATTCGCTTTGTATCCCAGGGAATATCAAGCATCGTGGTTTGTTTGTTTGTTTTTTTCAGATTCTGTAAATCATCAATGAAGGAATTCATTTCGTATTTTAGTATTTATTAAAATCAGTGCTTTAATCCGACCCAAAAAGGCATCGACCGAATAAAGGAGTTAAAATTAATATTATACTAATTTTTATTTAGAAATTTTAAATATAAATCTAACATCAGTTTTGATTAAAATTTCATACATAATTATTCTTTCGAATGTCCGTTAAAGAAAATATCCTTTAATTTATAAGTATATAAGCACAGTTGTCATCTACAAATTTACTTCATTACCCCGGATTTTATTTGTTTTTAGTATATTATAGACATATTTTTCAAATTTGCGCTTCTTAATGAAAATATTAATAAGCACGGGAACATTTTTTATATTCGGTTTCGTGAGGCAGGGAACCATCTGTTCTTGCTCTACAGAAGCTAAACCGCGCCGAACGGCGTGCCCGCTCGTCACTCGAGAAGAGCAGCCGGCTGGCGCGCGTGCCTCTGTCTGGCGCTTTGTGAACGCACGCGTGCGGTGCGGCCGTTCTTGGAACTTCGGGATGAGTCGGCGCGCACCTACCGCAACACGCGTCCTTTGACTCGCGGATCTCGTCGGACAAAGTTCGGGCGACGCGTAATACGCATAAGCTCGAGGAAATAACAGCGAGCGTTTCCCTGCCAAGACTAGCCAGAACGCGGGACACAAAGACGGGTCCTAGCACTGACTGAGGGAATGGTGGATCAAGATTATGAGTGATATGGTGACTTTTTTGTGTTACGCCGTTTTTAATTTGGGGTTCAATTGATATTTGATGCTTCTTTATAAGAGTAATAATTCTCCACCTTTAAACTGCTACACTAACCTGATTTCTGTTCACTGAAAGTTTTAAGTTTATCTCAATCCACAATTGCAGTCTTGTGATGGAAAAGGCAACTGTTACGACATGCACCTGTCGAAAGTTCGCCCATTTAAGATTTTACTAGTGACACCTACGGGTTGAACAGTTTTAACAACACTACAGACACACATCATCTCCACATTAATCTAAATATTATGTTTATAAGATACTTTTCATATGTCATTATTGTTGTGCACTATTATCTACCTGTACAACAAAGGCTAAAGTTATTCTCACAACTGTTCTCTTCTAAGTGATGTCGACCGTGTTAGACGTCTCTCAAATCTTTGCATAGTGGCTCGACAGAGGGCGCGCGATCGTTCTCGCGTCTGAAAAAGCACACACATACAAACACACACATACACATACACACATATACATATACATACACATACGCACACATACACACGCACACATACACACACATACACACACATACACACACATACACATACACACGGCTTCACGCCACGGGAGATCGTTTACGACGCGCGTTACCGCCGCCCGGCTGCGCTGCGGGCGATGCTCCATCGGGGGTTGAGTGTCCTTCACCTACGGTCAATACCTGCCCCGCGGCTGGGTCATCGGTGCTACGGTAAACGCATTTGTCACAGGAAGGTTTTCGGGCCACTATTTTTTTCTCGAAGCCTGGCAATAAGAAAAGATGGAGAAGAGACTTGCGGTCAATAATGTGGATTTTCCTCGTGGGTGTGCTTGTAGCTTGGAGCTATCGCAAGACTCTGTAAAAGGCGTATCGGGAACATTTGCGTGCGTGCATTCAACACATGCTATTAGACTGAATCACTGATCGATTTGGTATAAATAGAGGTTTTGAATGTAGCGAATGGTATTCGCTTTCTTTCTTCTTTCTATCTCTTATTTATTTACTCATCATTTATTTCTTATTTATTTAACTTCGAACAATCCATAGTCATACTTCCATTAGAATCTCTGGGATCTGGCGATTCTGCCACAGGTTAAGTAGATGCGGTAGAGCATGAGAGAGCAAGTTCAAACTGCTCGACGTGGAAACGCGACAGGGAGTTAAGCAGGTGAATAATAATCGTATATGCTCCCCTACGTGTGTCATAACTACTACCAAGAAAGCTGAAATGAAAATTGTCATAACTCTGATTGCGAGTTATCCATCACAGCTCATCAGCTAATGGAAAATATATCCCCGCGACGCAAAGGCCAAATTTCTCAGTTGGCTATCTCCTGCATAAAATTAAGTCAACAATCGTGATAGAGGAAATATTCTGTTGTGTGGTCAGCAATTCTGTAACCTTGCTGTATCGTAAGTTTAGCGGGTCAGTGACGAAGATGTTCCGGGTGCTTCAATTTGCATCTGCAGAAGCCATCTGCGTTTTTGACACCGTCGAAATTTTTCAGTCGGGTGCCGGCGATTAGCGCCGCCGCCGCCGTCGCCGTCGCCGCCGCTCGGGTCCAGCGGCGCTGCTGGATGACCCTGGCGCGGTGACGCACGGCAGTGGGGCGACGCAACCGGCGGGCAAAATGCACGTTTTCAATACTCTTCAATTTTCATTATTCAAACGTGCTTCTTTGTATTAATTTGTTTTGCGCATTTTATAATAATTGTAAATAATATAAGTATTTTATTGATAGTCATAAATTCATGTGATTGAGTAGACATTTATCGGTAATGGTAATGTTATGTGATTGCATTTGTCTCTCGTTTATCCTTGTATAAAATCGTTAGAAAGTATATAACAAAAAAAATTATTACTTTTGTCATCAAAATATTTTGTGAAGTCTAGGCTCGTAGGAGCTACAGTACATCCTCTGCTTCTTCATTTATAAACAATGTACTTATATTTCTTGAAACGGGTGCTTGTGTTGCAAAGTAACCAAGGCAATTCATTTGTAAAGTTTCATTTTCAACTTATATATAGTAACTAGCTTCAAATTAGTTTTTAATCTAGATTTCTTGTTGTTCACGATTCTGCCCTTGCAATCGCCTGGCATTCTTGAGAAAACCTCGCAAACAACCAATGAGAGTAGCCGATGTGTAGAATTCCCATTCGGCTTCGACCCGTCCGGTATCGAATATCCGCCACCGCCGGGACTCGACCCAAGAACATCCCCGGTCCCCGAATTTCACGTTATCGATAGCAGAAAGCTATTTCGATCCGCGCGTTTCCCAATCCGAACCACAGTGCGGCGCGGCGGTCCGTTAGCGGCGGCAGTCGATGACCCGTGCTGGAATATCGGACTTGGACGCAGGGTCTGCCGGCGATGCCCTTGTTACCTCGCGCGTTCCGTGACGCGCGCGCACGCGCGCTCGCGCCGCGCACCGTATCGCCAGGGTCGCAACCCACTGCCCCTGCGGCGGCGCTCTGGGCACGCAGCGCGCGGCGCTTGTTTTTATTTTGGCGGGGAGCGAAGGATTAAGGGGATTCGTATTTATTTTTATTTTATTTATTTTTATTTTATTTATTTTTATTTTATTTATTTTTATTTTATTTATTTTTATTTTATTTATTTTTTACTTTTATTTATATTTTTATTTATTTTATTTATTTTTATTTTATATTTATTTTATTTTTTTTTTTATTTTTATTTTATTTATTTTTATTTTTATTTTATTTATTTTTATTTCTTTAAGATTAAGAAACTGTTAAAAACATGTGATGTATTGTGGAGTTGTACGTTGCATATTTTTAAGTAGCCACTTCACTTCGTCACTCCCTTGCAAACGCCAAATTAAATTTAAA